TTCCATAACATGATCATTGGATGACCATCCTATGTTGAGAGATGACTCTGAGAATGAGAGAGAAGGGAGGGAGGTTGAAAGACAAAGGGAGTGTGGGAGAAATCGAAAACCTATTTTCGGTATAAATTTTTTGCTGTATCCAACATGGAATAAGAGTCCTAGGTTGGCAACAGTCACATAAGCCTCAGATGACATGGTGGGGGGTTTTTATAATTTGAAGTGTAAAGTCGGTTGTCAGAGTTTTGTTGGTTTCTGGACCAACCTGCAACATAATTTTAAATGTACAACCAACTTTGACTATAATTTTCCCTTTAAATTATATATTTCATTTACATAATATAAAATATTTTTTACTTATCACACTTAATTTTTGTTTGTCTATGATATCATTTGATTCAAACCACTAATCCACCATCTAAAAATAAAAATTGTTTGATTTCTAGGTTGACATGAAATTTTGTATTACATTTTCATCATTGATAAAATTATTTCTTATGTATAAAATTTATTTTTGTTCAATATAATGAATGAACAATATTAAAGGTGTACCTAATATTTTATTTTTTATAAATATATAACATTACATATGTGCCCAAAATTTTCTCTATCTTTTATTTTTATTTTTATTATTCTTTGTATTTTCTATTATTAAAAATTTTATTATTTGACTATGACATCATTTAATTTCTAGGTAGATTTTGAATTTGGCATTCCATTTCATCATTAATAAAAATACTTCTTACATTTTATAGTTATTTATTTTAATTTTTTATTATTTAATTATGGCATCATTTATTAATCCATTTGACCCCAAATGGTTGAATTGGTTGCCCACCACCGGGAGGGAAGAAAATGGTTTTGTTTTCAAATTACTTTTTAAAATATTTATTTTTATACTATTAAAATTAATACTGTGGATTTAATTACAAGAATTTAATGATGAGAAAAATATATCTTAGATATAGGATTTAATGAGAGAGAATAGAAAAATATTTTTATTTCCAATTGGTTTTAAATTTTACATTCCATTTTCATCATTAATAAAGAAATTTCTTATTTATCATACTTATTATTGTTTAATATGTATGTTAAAAATGTTCCCAAATTTTTTAATTTCTATTTTTTTTCATTTTATCTATTTTTTAATTTTATTATTTAATCATGAAAACATGGATTAACCCATTTGACCCAAAATGATTTAATTTCTTACCATCACTTAGATGAAATCACTATTTTTGCTAGGTAGATTTTAAAAGTATAAGCTTTTATGTTATTGGAATTATTAATTTATTAAGTATGAATTTAATTAATAGAACTTAATGATGATAAGAAATATAAATGACTTAAATATATGATTCAATGAATATGAATGCAAGTTAAAAACTTAAATGGTGGATTTAATGAGAAAGAAATGAATGCATTGAATATTTTTAAATTACCTCTTTTCAACTCATTTAATATTAAGAACCAATTACCTTGTTTGCCCTCATTTTTTATCAATAAATTTAAATATAAAAGGGTAAATTTTGTCCTTAGAAAATTCTCAAAATATTCTTGAGGCCATTCGTGCTTTTCAAAGTAGTATAGATATGGTTGGAGGTGAGAATAAAAGGAATTGGAATATCTATTGGTTCTTTGTAAAAGTAAAATGGAATAAAAAATAAAAAATTCAGAAAAAGTAGAAAAAAGAAGACACTTCCTTGAATGCATTATGTATGTATGTATGTCGTATGTAATGTATGTATGTATTTATGTATGTATATGGACTAAAGCTACCCTTATTGTTCTCTCTCTCTTTCTCTCATCCATTTTTTGTCGTCTTCTACCTTTAGAGGGAGAAGTAAAAGAGGAAAAACTATTAAAACTCTATTATCTACATGGATCATCTTCTACCTAGGGATGGATTTGAGCCAAGCCGAGTCAAATAGCTAGCTATTCGAGCTCGGCTCGCCAAGGTAGTATGAGGCTCGAGCTAGAACCTTAAGCTTAAGTTCGGCTCGAGTCAAAAGCTCGTAAGCTCAATGTCAACTTGAGAAAAATGTTTTATAAAAATAAAAAATTATATATAAAAATATTTTTTATTTGATATTTAAAAAATTAAGAATTATAATAATTAGTTATTATTATATAAAAAATAAAAACATTATATATACAATATTTTTATTATATACTATTTTCTATAATTTATTATTATTATT